TCTCCAAACACCTCTTCATCTTCCTCGTTACGAAGAAGCTAACACATAGGCTAACACTGCCAGGTTCCGCTTCCTATGGCTACATCCTCATGCATACATTTCCGAAAAGGGCATGATTCTTGTCTTTGTGATTGGGCTACAACCTGTAAAAGCCAGAAACCTGTCAGCAAAAACAAAATGGCCATAATCATCCCAGACATTAGATCATGTGATTTTAGTCTAGAAAACACTTCGGATCCAGCTTTTGGGGCCCCACCGCTCTAGGATACAGGAGCGCTAAAAGATACAAACCCAAAAAGGACTGGGGGGAAGAAGAGGTCCACCTTGAACGCATCCAAACCCTTTTCTAGAATTCTGCTTGATCCAAAACCCCAAATCACCATCCCTTTTGCACCAAATACGGTCCGGGCAAGAACGCCGGATCGCTGGACCGACATGTCTTTTCCAGCCGGCAGTGCGCAGGGCACAGTCAGTGCCGGGGGCAAGCGAAGTCATGCGTCATTTTGGGGGCCCTTTGGCGGACAATCAATGCCTGGTTCAAAAAAAGGTTGCACAAAAGTTTTAACCTGGACTTTGATTCCACTCGAGAAGAACGTTCACTTTGAAAAACATTTCAGAGTTGGTTCTGGACAAGTCAGAGACCCTGGAATTCAAAACCCCAAAGTTGCGTGTCGAGGGGTGTAGAAAAAACCTGGGTTCCCCTTGGAGATTTATGTCCTTGCCGTTAGAAATACATAGTCACATAATCCACCTGGAGCAGACCAGTCCACTTTGATTTGTCATGCGGCAAGACTTCTTCATTAAAACAAAATGGACACTCCAAAGCCCCGTGCCCAGGTGCAACTTTCCGTGTCCCGAGTTCTTAGCCGTTTCAATTCGGTGATGTGTTAATTCAGTGAAAAGACGTGGCAGTGGACCGAGCATTCTTTGAGAAGTCATTGATTCACCACTGGCGGGTGTAGGCGCAAATGTCCGATAAAACGCTAAAACAGAAAACGCCGGCAACAACCCCCATGTCACTCTGCCTGAGATCAAATGGGCAGAAGGATTCACGTTTCATGCGACGCCAGGCTTCTGGAAGAGGCCCTAGTGGAATGCTTCGGAACTCAGTCTGCAATGAACTGTCCAGTCACATCTTTGGGTGTCCCGACGCTACGGGCGCTTAGGTGATCCAAGACTTCTGAGCGTTTGGAAAAAATGGATGGACCTGGTTGGAAAAATGGATGGACCTGGCAAATGGAATACACCCAAGCTAAACCAGTGAAACCCATCATTTTCTAGCCAAACTAACCGATCAAAGGATGCCTGTGCCGTCCATATCAAATGGCTTGCAAGTATTTTTATTCACTTCCCATCCAGTGGGTGAGCCAAGAAAAGACACCAAACTGTTTGGACTAATCTGGGCTGTCCTGGGATCCCCTGCTTATCGCCCTAAGAACCTCAACACCTCCGGATGCCTGCGCTTGCCACCAAGTAAAGTCCGAAACGGAACTTGGGGAGTGAGTTTCCAGAGCGCTACGCTGGCTAATTGATTGGCATGCTTCGCGGCCATGTCCCGGTCCAAATCAACCCAGCGCATTTGGCGCCGCGTGAGACGCAAGGAAAGGGATTCCTGCCTCCCTCACAGCTGGAATGGAGAGGTTGGGTGGTCGCCCCTCATTGAAACAACACAAGTCCCCGTTCAGGGGCTACCACAGCTTGAAGGCTCTGTCCTATGTCAAAGCCCGCATTTCTCCATCCCCTTGAATCACGAGGGTATGTGGTGCAGAAGAAACGTAGTGGGTTCTTTTCTCAAAAGCTGCAAACCGCTTGCGGGGAGGCAAATTGCCAGCAGAGCCTCCCTCACTTCGACGCTCTGCCATGTCTTTGAGCAGAGACTGCCCAAAGCAACCGGCACATCTCCAAGGCTTCTCCAGAAACCTGCAAGCTCCGATCTGCCCGATCTCCTGGATCTTGTAGAGGGTAAATGGGAGACCCCTCATTAACCACCAAACCTGGGCTCCAACCTAGAAATTAGAGGGAACCTGAAAGTAGAGAGTATTTGTTTCAAGGCTCATGTTCGCGCATGCTTCAAAAACCAATCTTTTTTGAGGGTAACCATTTTTGGGGTTGCGTGAAACAAAAACCAACAGGAAACCAACCATTCAACTGCGTTCCCTTTGACACTTAGCCATCTGCCCGCGAGCAAGAAAACCAACTTTCTCGGGAGCCGTTGCTCTGGGCAAAGAATTGTTTGACTCCGCCGCCGCGAAAACTGTCCCGTCGCGCGCCGGGGGGTTTTTTGGTCAGTTGGCAGCGCGTCTGACACCTCGAAATCCGAGCCATGTAGCTAATTGACGCTCAGTCTGCTTGGCAGAGCTGAGCTTGAGGATGCCAACCTCTTGACCGCGCAATCGAAAGAGGCCCATTTTGTTTGAGGAATGTTCCCATGAGACGTGGCGCTGGCTCAAACTGCGTCAAAAACGAACAGCTCGTCATCTTGCACTCAACTGTACTCGTTTGTCTTGGATCTCGCCGGCTTTGTGCTCCAAGACAGAACCTGCGTCTGACTCCAGTTAGGAAGGAGTCAAGTTGTGCTGCTTTTGATGCTTGTGCAGTTTCTCGGTGTTGCAGCGGACGCCTGCCACCAATGTCAGGAAGCCTGCTTGAGTTGGCTCAGTTGCTTAGCTTCATTTAACTTTAGAGCTTTGGATTCCGATGTTCTGGACCTGCACTGCTTTGCATCGTTTTGGAGCAACACATCCTTGGGAGAAAAATGTACGCTCGACTATACCTAAAATCAAGAAATAGCTTTCAGTTGACTAAAGTATGCTAGGTGTTGGGATGGAAACTGTAGCAACACCTTTAATAAGTTAACAAATCAAATATGTCAATTGGGTACCCTTTGGTGGACATCATTTTCATGGGAATTCACGTCCACCAACCACTGAGGGTGGTTCCGACTTTTAAAACTAATGGCCAATGTGTACGTCAATATCCTCTCAGCCAACTAGCTTCAAAGCCTGAATGTCGTCCATATGTGAGCCTCTGGTATGAACCCCGAGTTTATTGCTTGGGCAACCACTAGTACCGCTGGTGCTTCTTTCTAAATGCGGTCTCCAGCCCTTCGGGTTCCCAAATAGCATGGGATTCTCAGAAGATTCATACGAGCCAGCTTGTCCCAACTCTGGGGCTAAGGAAAAACACGAAGCGCCTCGAAACCCCGAAGTTGAGCCCTTCAAATTCGGGAGACTCCGGGGGAACTACGCCAGACAAAGACCTACGGTTGCTGCAACGACCCCTCGGCAAAAAGTTCAACTGGTGGGTTTCATGGAAAACCCAACTTCATTTCTATCATAAGTCAAAGTCTACAAATCCAACCCAATAGCAGTCTTTCACTAGGCCCTCCAGTAGAGGTTTTAGAATAAGGGTACCCTTTTTTCTATTTTAGTAGGGGAACCCTCCCCAAAATAAGGAAAAAAGGGGACTACAGGGGGACCTAAAAACAAAACAAACACATATCCTTACTTCAGGTCCGGTCCAGCTGGCATCCCGCGTAGCCACGCTTCAAATCCGCTCGCGTTTCGCAGGTCTTCGACGAGCTGAGTCGACGAGATCCGTTGGCTGAACTTCCCTCCAACAGATTTTTCTGGCCTGTGGTGGTCAAATCCGTTTTGATATCCCATTTGGGGGGGTTTTCGGTGAATCCGCCACCCATTCCAGTCTAATCATTTTAATTGGGGGATTGGGATGTTCATTGAAAGTACGGGATTTTGACCCATGGCCATACATCTCCAGGACAATTGATTCCAACCTTAAAACCGCGGCCAGGGCAAAGAAGACAGCTCTCTCTCTTAGGCAAGTGGAAGGTGAGATCCAGTGAAACCATGGGCTCAGAAATGTTTCCCCGCACACAAAAAAACCGGAGACGCTCGCTTTCGAAGGGCCCAATGCCCCATGCCCGATGACTCTATGCGGGTGGCGCCGCCCGTCTTTTTTGAGTTGGTTCCAAGTGTTGGTCGTTTAAGGGGAAACCAAGAGGGAACCACCACTTTGGGGAGCCCCGCAAAGCCAAACCTCTGCCTGTTTGGTCGTTGCAAGGTGCAGCAGAAGAAACACAACCAAGCTGATGGCAGCAGTTTTCTATGCAGCCCTCAGAAACGCAAGCAGGGAGCAGTGCGTCAAAGTGTGGGTTCCCTGGGTGCGAGCCAGTAATTGATGACCCCAATAATTGGGTCACAAAATCCTGAATGGCGAACACATATATATATATATATATATATATGCTATAATAGGGTGCCATTCATGAAGGAGGTGTAACATTAAAAGCAATCTGCAACTTGTAAACTCCATGTTCCATACTTGCAATGCTCAGAACTCAGGGGTTCAACTGCACAAAGGTGTGCTCCTTGCAATCCGACGAGGGTGCAATCCATACTTTGCCATGCAGTAACCACAGGCAAACAAACAAACAAACAAAACAGCAATCTCTAGTCGCGCGAATCGCTTCATTGTACACCAAAAACAAGCAAACATTGAATCTCTGAAGCACATGTAGCTTCCAACACTTGTCATAGGAGTAAAACTTCATCGATCGCAAGAAACACCTACCCCAGGAACATCTGGGGGGCTTCTCAAAATAGCGGTCCCTAAAATGTTGGGGGATGGCTTTTACGGCAGCCACTATTGGTATGGGCTGTAGCAAAACACAAACTCTTTTTTGCAACTCGCGAAAACTGAAAAAGAACGCACAAAATGAAAAACCTAAAAACATGACCCGACAACTGTGAAGATTCTTCATTCAACATCCTTCGGGTTTCTCCTTTCGAAAGACATGGGCCTCGTTGCACAACACTTGTCCAAGCGTCTCCCTCTCACCTCCATTGCTGAAGCCAGGGAAAAACATGCTTCCAGTGGTGAAATCGATTCCCATGAAAACCAACAGGGGGAAAATCCATATTGAAAAATCATTTCTTGAAGGGTTTTCCTTGGGTTTCGCTTACCAACAGGGATATTCGTTTCAGCCCTTGGGTTTCTGCGAAAGGCGAGGGACGATGCACGCGCTGGCGCTGCAGTTCTTCGCTCAAGCGAGGCGATCCGCGAGCCTGGGGCAAGCGATGGTCGAGGCTTCCTGAAACTCAGCTGCTGAGGGACCCAGAGAGAAAAGGTGAGAACGTTTTGGGACCTTGACCTAAACATGGGAACCCAACATTGGGAAAAAAAAACAGCAACTGGTCACTTCGATCGGTCGAGTCGCTTTGGAGAAGTGAGAAAAGGGGAAACGAGTTGTGAATGAAATTCTGCGGAAAGGTGAGTTCCCGAAAGGGGCGCTGGCACCGAAAGGAAACTCCTGGGCAACAGCTCAGTGTTCTCAATGGAAAAGAGTCAGAGCCCTGAAATGGCTTTTGTTTCCCCGAGTTTTCAGGCTACCCCTAATTAGTGGTTTTGGTTGGTGGTTTGGGGAGTTGAACCCTGGCTCTTCTATAACCCCCCCTTTTGCAGGTTACCCCTACTTGGTGGCTAGGGTAGATGGGAAACGGAGTCCTCCTTAACCAATAAACCACCAATCAAAAACAAAAACCATTAGAGGGAAGCTAATATTTTTTGGTTCCCCGATGATCCAAAATGGGGTCTTCCCCTTTTGAGAAGCCCCCGTCTGCACAAACCACGCCAGAGCAATGAATTCGCTCGCAGTTCCCCCCAAAATGTCATTTCATGAGCAGCACATGGAAGCAAACATCAAGTGGGCTTCTATGTGCTATGGTAACCTCAGCTGCCAAGCATCCAGGAATAAAAGGTGATCACCTTTCGGGACCTTGACTAAAAATGGGAACCCAACATTGCAAAAAACAAAAGGCCATTTCGATCGGTCGACTCGCTTTGGGCAAGTGAGTAACTCTCATCTCCGGGCTGCACCAACTCGCTGATGCGGTAGGTAGGGAATCGGACATGGAATGAACCGGTTTTGGGGATTCCCTTAAAGCAAATCACATCGGGGATGGTTTGTAGGGGGCCAGTCCGCATCTCATTCGATCGCATGCCAATGGAGTCAAAATCAAAACCTGGTACTGCAATGGTCCACCCCAATCCAGAGGAAATTAAGAGGCGGCAACGAATTCTGGCAAGGGGACCGGCCCTTACTAACCTTCACCTACCCGGGTTTTTAGCCCGTGGCTCAACCCAGGCACGCCCCACGCCCCTGGCCCGCCCCACGCCCCTGCCTCTCACCGTGCCCTGGCACGAAAAAAGCTCAGAAAGATCTCATCCAACAGAGCTTGGAGCCGGGAGCCAGGTGGGAGTTTCCGGCTTTTTCCAACATTCAAGGCTCATGTTCGCGCCTCCTTCAAAAATCTATTTTTTTTGGAGGGTAACCATTTTTGGGGTTGCGTGAAAGGAAAACCAACAGGAAACCAACCATTCAATCCGTGTGGATGCAAAGGTCCCGGGTTTTTTGGAAGCCTGAGTTGGCTTTATTTGCCAAGGACATACCTGCTCATGCAAACGCCTGGGCGATACCTATGCAAATGCAACCGGCTTTGGTTCTACCAGCACTAGCACCATAACCTTACGCAAAAGTCCCTTTCCATTGCCCCTGGCCTAAGGGAAAAACAATGGTAACGGCTTGTGCTATGACTTGACGCATGGCTCCCACGCTCATGAAATGCACGTCCATGAGTCGACTTGCAACAATTCAACTGGACCCTTTGGTAGACATGCTATGGATTTTACACCCATTTGGGTGGTGGTTTTCCTTTTGGTTTCCTTTTCCGCAAAAGAATGGGGTACCCTCAAAAAAGACACATCCATTTCGGCTGTTCCTTGGCTTAGGTCTCCAATAACCAACTATGCCTGTGCCCCCCAAAACTCCAAAGACCATTGCCAAGGGGGGCAGCGTGCCTGAACAGGTAGGTTCCAAGAAATGCAACCTTTTCGCAGTGAAACTTTCGAATTTTCGAATACATGGACCACATGCAGCTCCCTCCCGAACATGGAACCCTCGCTGGATCCCCGAGATCGGTCTTCCCAGACAGCTGCCAAAGGGCTAGTTGACAGCGTCGGCGACTTGACTGAGATACTGGAACCGACCTTCACGCTTGGTCGCTGCAACGACCCCTGCAACAAGTGGACCACTTCTTGGGGGCTCTAGGTGGAAAACACCTTTACTTCAACCAAAAAGTTAAGGTCTAAAGATCCGTTGCCCAATGGCAGTCAAGCACGCACCCCCAAGGAGCAGTCCCTCGCGCCCAAGGCTCGGAGCCCCCGAAAAACCACACGAGACGCCACAAGCCAGCGCTTCGATGCACCCAGCTGCCTGGGGGCCGGTGAAAGTCCGAGGGGCACGTGCCTCTTCTGAACGGGATCTTTTCGGAAAACCACCGAAAAACCGTGGCTTGTGGTTTTAAAACATTGCAGAAAATGGAATCAACCCCTACAAAAATCCGGCAGCTGAGAGATATCGGCCGTGGAGTCGTGGGCGTTAGAGGAGCTTCAAGTGGAACGAAATACTTGTCGTGGTCATCTTCCTTCCGTTGCCCGAACAAGCTTCTGGTGGCTGATATCCATTGGTGCCCAAAAAAGAAACCGGATCGATCCTCGGGAGTGATGTGTGCTTCATGCCTCAGGGCAACACATTTCACGGCTTGTCATTTCACTGAGCTTACCTAAATGGCCATGGGTCAAAGTCCAAATCGTACCCCCAGTGAACATCCCAATCCCCACTAAAGTAGGTTCTAAAATGGGTGGTGAATTCACCTATCCCCCAAAATGGTTGATCCCAAAACGGTTTTGACCACCACAGCCAAATCGAGAAGCTGTCTTTTGGTATCTTGGACGCAAGCACACCCCTAACAGCCATGGTTGGCCGCTTCCCGGGTTCCTTCTTTTGGCCAAAAGCGCCAGGCCCCCGTTTGAACCTACCCAAATCAAGATGCACAGGGATCCTTACACCCGCAGTGGGTTAAAGGGAAGCAACCAACCATTTTCTGACCTCAACCCCAAGACAAGGATCCGGATGCATGAAAAACACCAAAAAACCTTGCAACTTGCAAATGGTGTGGTTTCCAATCTGTATTTTGGTGTTGAAAAAGCAACATGTTTCAACTGGTTGCAGAATTTGTATCTTTCAAGGAGCCCTGATCCATGCAGGATCGGCCTCGTGAGTTTACAGTTGTCCAGGCCAGCCCCCAGGTGGAAGGTTCGAGGGACTACCATTCTCTGAAACTTGACCTGGACCCCCCTGCAACAGCTTAAACTGTTTGCTGGAAGAAAGACAAAATGATTTGAACGCAAAAAGGCAAATGGTGTTCAAAGGGTAAGTCTTTGGTGAATTTGGTCGTGTGACATGCCCCCACTCCCACCAGAGAAGCAACATGCGGGGAACTTGACATTGGGGCATCCTTCCCCAAAGAGGTTCGTCAGACTGCTGAAATTACCCATTTCCAGACCCGCATTTTGCGATCCACTTCCTCTATTTCAGAGCTTGTTTTTCCGGCAGTTGGTCCCAAACAATTGGACCATGGGTCAATCAAATGCCGTCTATCGGCCGCCAAGGAATAGAACTGGTCCTAGGTGTTGGTTGCGAATCTGGATGAAGTCAACTTCAGGCTTGGACCAAGCCCAGGTTTCATGGGAAGCCACGGTTTAAATGAATCCCCTTTTGGATTCACTGCAGCAAGTTGGAGGAACGTTTTGCTCAAACCAGTTAAACCTGCAAAAAGTTCATTCTCTGCTGGAGTCCCAAATATCTGTGAGTGGAAAGGCATGCATTCATATGCTGGTGAAAACCTCGAACACATCGCCCACCTCGAACACATCGCCCCCTCCCTCATCCCGCTTCGACCCAAACGGCCCACAAAATCGCGACAAGGCCAACGAGCAAGGTGATAGCAATGACCTATCCTGGGGCCTTTACAGGTACCAGTGTGAGACACTGTGCCGACATGCGGCTTTGGACCTCCCAAAATGCCGGCGTTACGTTTGGCTTCCTTTGAAAAATAGGGAATGAGACATGGAATGAACCTAGGCGTTGGTCCCCTAAAAAGGACACCACCAAAGTTGGATGGTTTTTTCACGGGTCATTCCACTTCTCCCCTTACAGGACACCACCAGTTGGATGGTTTACTAGGTCCTCCAGATTTGAGAGGTTAGAAGAAGTTGGTACCAACCTTTTTCTGTCTATTTTAGTAGGGTTGAACCCTCCCAACCAAAAAAGGGTGAGAAAGGGCGGCTTATTCCATTTAACTCAGAGGCAAGGGCATCTCGCGCACCCATCGGAAGCTACTTCCGCATCCCAGGCGCTTGGCCCTCTGCCGCAGCACCGCATTGAGCTGCTCCAAGTGCCAGCCCGCGTTCAGCAGCCAGCCCCGCTGCGCCTGTGTGTTTGTTGTTATGTGTGTGTGTGTTGTTTCCTTTCTTTTTTCCTTGTTGTTTTTTTCTTTTCCGGACCTTCCCCCCCCCCTCCCCGAGTGGTCGAGTGGCGTTGTTTGTTTCCCTTTCGGTGTTCCTTTAAACCAAAACACAAAGGTCTTCCCTTTAAACTAAAGCAACGGTAGCCTCAAAAACAACAACAAGAACATGGAGACCTGTAAAGCCAAAACACAAAGGTGCCCTCAAAAGAAGACTCAAGAAGAACGGAAACCAGGTGAAACGACAAGGTCGTAATATACGTGGCGTTCCCCAAAATTGTATATCGGAAGAGTATGGAGCGGATGGGACTACCCCAAACAACTGCGTTTTGGACAGTACTTGGGATTTGGGCATGGGAGAAAGCCGTCGTTGGGGGCTGCAGGGGATAGGACTGGTTGCTTGACCCAACCGTTCGCATCGATTGTTTGAGCCACAACAAATAAGGGAATCACAAAGATCAGCTTCCCTTTAGTTGGCGGTTTGCATTGTGTTTTTGTTGGTGCTCAAGCAGGGGTAAACCCCGTTTTTCAGGAGAACCAGGGCTTCAAATCCACATCCATTAGTTTCACATGCGAAAAGCCAAGTGGGCAGCTCGGCTTTTTGGAGGCTCAGTTCTCGGTACCCTTTTTTGTTTGTGGCTTTCAAGGAAAGCCAAAAGGAAAACCCCCGCCGTTTTGCAGAAACGAGTCCCCTCCAAAAAAAGAGCAGAGACGGGCAAATTCTCGCAATCCACCTCTTGAACTTTGCTGCCTTCCACTCACTACTGTGGATGGACGCAATCCGTTCGCACCACTTTGACCCATGGGAAACCCTTCTTCATTGGTATTTACAGGGGAATAATCATTCCAGGGTTTCATAGGTGGTGCAGGATTTCGTCCATCCACAGTATGATGTGCACCACATTTTGCAACATGCAACGCGCGTTGCAAAGGCGCGTTTCTCAAATTTTGAGCATCCAGCATCCGTCCGTATTGGAAGTGACCAGCCCAAAAGCTCCCAAACACACTCCAAAGACCCTAGAAAAGAATGCAGTCGGGAAAAAGGAGTGCATCGCATTGCGCCCTGTTTCGAGTGCTCGGATGATTCTAGCACAACATCATTTCTTGCTCCCTTGGAAGTGGACGGATTCCGAGGTCAACAGCAAAAATCTTGCAAGCCCCTCGATCGTCAGCTTCTATGAATTATTGGAGGGAGGATATTCTCAGCTTCCCTCAAAACGATTTGGTCGTTTGGAGCCCAGTAATTTGGCAGGGCTTCAAATCCAAGTCCAAATCTAAACCAATCCAAAGAAGCAACTACGGGTAGGCTGACAAGCGAAAACCACAGACTGGGGACGTGAGTTTAGACCATGGGTTAAAATCCAAATCCATCCTTGCTCTTTTCCCCAAAACGGACTCTCCCAGTTTCAGGATGTTTCAAATGTGGCTTCCCCATCTCATGAGCCCGCATCCACCACCAACGTGTCTCTTCGTCTTCCTTGCTCGCTTCTTGGGCCCTTGAGTGGATTTCCCACGGGGGGAAAAGACACAGAAACACATTGGCACCGTTCTTGATTTCATGGGGGCTGGGGGGGAGGGAGGGGGAGGGGGAGGGGGAGGGAGCCCAAACAAGCCCTTATTAAGCCCTTAATAAGGCCTTATTTAGGGCTTAGTTGGGCTCCCCTCCCCCCCCTCCCCCCCAGCCCCCATGATGATTGAGTTTCTGGTAAACCTTTCCCAAAAAGTTGGGAACAGGGATTGCTTGGTGATCAGGGCATGACCGGGGCTTTTGGGAATGAACCGTTCTGGGGGTTCCCGTAATCAAAGGAAACCAACTCGGGTCATTCCAACTCATTCCCTGCTGAGCACCGAGAAAAGTTGGAAAAAGGAACTGCCAAGCTTTCATTTGCTTTTTCGCCCCCTGGAAAACATGAGCAAAACAAGAATGTCCAGCAGTGACATCGACTCCAACTTTAAGACCATCAGTGGAACAAAATATGGCCATGCGTCAACATCCCGTGCCCCCAGCCAACATCCCAATCCCCACTAAAATGCACTAAACTGGGCATTGGTTTTGACCCACAGCCATATCTTCTGAAAGGCAAATGGAAGCTCGAGCACTTCGACCCATGGGCTCCAGAGGCCGAACTTCGGCCGGCCCCAGCCTTTAGCATGCCATCCAACTCCCGCTGCCACAAGGGCCTCCACTCCTCCTCGCTTCTGGCGGTCGGGTGGGCTTCTCTCGAGGCGGCAAACAAGAAATCCTTCGCTCGTGGGGGGAACTCCCACACCTCCTGGCCTCACAAAAGGCTCATGGCAAAAAGCGCGGCCGAAAATCCCTCCTCTGAACCCACGGCAAGTGAAGATGACTTGCGGGGTTTCTTTTCGGAAACCACTCACTAAAGGCCCAAAGAAGCGAAGGAACCAATTGGCTGGGGGTTCCCACCAACGATGGTTTCCCGCTTTCTTTGCGGCCACGGCCCCAGCGAGCAGCCTCTCCCTCCCAAATTCTGTTCTGACCGCAGCTTCCATTTGCTGAAAGGAATTCTGGGCTGCCCGTTTTCTGATCCCCCGCTAAAAGTGAATCACTTTCAGTGGGTTAAAAATAGAAACTACCACTAAACAGTAAAAGGCGAAAAAGCTAAGGAACCGAATGGCTGGGAGCCGCCAAGGAATGAATGTGTTGTTTCTTTCTGCTGCTTTTCACTACTCATAGGTTCTCAGTCTCTGAAAACTTCAGCAACTGGAGGGCAGTCATGCCCCGACGGACAGCAGGCAGCCGGGCATTGGTCGCTTTCAAGCCAGCCGGCCCTTTGCGGTTCCCCGGTTGCTGGTTTGGGGACGGGTTCCGACTCAACCCTTCGTAACAACTGGGATTGCCTGCCTGGTGGGTCGTTGACCTCTTGCTCAAAGCCCCTAAACTCCGAAGGTCTGAACATCTGAGTCACAATCAAAACCCGGTATATATTAAAATGGTCGTAATCCCAGAACCATGCTTCAAGAATTAAGAAGGCGGCCGCAACTATTTCTGGCTGGGACTGCCCCTTACTAACCTTCATCTACCCAGGTTTTGATTGTGGCTCATCTAAGAAGCAGTATGGCTGGAAACCGCCAAGACTGGGACGAGTTCGCTTCGCGCCGATAGCTGGTTTGCTCCTCCGAGATCTCCTCTGTCTCCACCTTGGTCTCCGCATTCAGCTCGTTGACTTCCGTCTCCACGTTGTTCTCCAACTTCTCCCCCTCCGGCACCTCCCTGGGCGTGAGGCGCTGGGGCGCTTCTGACCCAAAGGGCTAACCTCATCAAAAGGCACCGGGACTCAGCCCCCCTTTTCAGGGAGAAAACAAGTGCCCGTTCATGCTTTGCAAGGCTTGGAACGAATCCTTGCCTTGCGCGCAACACGCGAAAATCAGCGAACTCGAACTCGGGGGGGATTCAGGGCCGATGTGGGAGGCTCAGAAAGGTAATGGCCCGTGCTGAAACAACGAACTACAAATTCACGTGCGCGCAGAGTGCATCGAGGCTTGCCGTCACAATGGCGGGTGTGAGGTCAAGAACGACCCTGGTAGGTGGTAGGGAAAGGGGGCGGTCGACTCAGCCAAACTTGTCACAAGACGGCGTGGCACGCTTCCCGCAGCCACTGGCCGCCAGGCAGGTCACTACGAAACAGAAGTTGCCTTCACCATTGAACGAAAATTCATACGTTGCGAAGCGCTGGGTTCTTTTTGCCGAAGCCACGACTTGTTCGGGGCCGAAATCAAGAGAAGTATGGTTCCAAATGTCCGCCGCATCATCTAAGCCAGCAACAAACATAGCTTGTAGCGGCTGGTCTGTGCACCCTGCGCCATGCCTCCATCATCTCAATGCTGGCGAATGGTTCGTTTGGTTCAAAGCCGAATGACTGGTTGCCAGGTCAGGGGTCACTGGACGTTCCCCTCAAGTTGATGAATTGACGAGTGGTTTCCATTGAAAAACGATCGATCCACTTTTGGAGGCGCCAAAAATGGACATGGAATGAACAGGTGGCCGTGTGCTTCCCTGGCGCCTGCCTTGCCAGGGCTACCTCCCTACCTCTGGGTGGGGAGGTTTTTTTGGGAACTCAACGAATCAGGTAGCCTTTACGTACTCTGACAGATGTGCATGGAACCCAAACGCGCATCTAACTGGTCTTTGATCCCCGAGAAGTCGACATTTCTTCGCTGGGGAGACATCTCTCTGCAGGTGAGGTCTGCCTCTCCAAAAACAACTCCAGGGGCCTCCGGGGACATTGCGGTGACGACGTCCACCAAAACCAGGGGCGAAACAAAAACGGACTTGGCGCCATAGTGGTAGTTGATCTTCAAGAGAATCCCCCAGAAACAGACGAAAGGAAAGCATCCCAATCATCCATTTGCTTGAGTCCCCTGGAAAAAAATGGGGATATTTCCAGTCTTGCTAGATTCCTTTAAACCCAACAGGGAAACAAAAAAAAAACATCTTAAGCAAATTAAAGCCACGGGTGTCTGCCCGCCCCCCCCCCAACCCCCCCAAAACCCTCCACAAGCTTTAGCCCGGGTGGCTCCCCCTCTTCCTCGTCAACCTTGAAGGGGTCGACCAGCCTGCGACGGGAGTTTCCACCCGCACCACTCGTGTTTTGGAAAAATAGATGAGTTTCCAACTGGTAAATGGATGGCATACAACCAATCACCAGTGGAACCCATCTATTTTAAAACTAACCTGAAAAGGACACCTATGTTCCCCGCACCACTCGGAAACAAAGCAGCCGCCGTGCTCGGGACGGTGGAAATCTCAGCAACGTCTGAAACTGAGCACAGAGGTCCTTACATTCACCTGAACATTGCAACTTGCAAATGGTGGTTTCCAACTTTATTTGGGTGTTGAAAAGCAACATGCTTCAAATGGTTGCAAAATGGAGATCTTTTAAGGAGCCCTGCGAGCACTTGCCATCTTTCTCAACAACCGTTCTTTTCGACAACTAGCTCACCTCCTGTACATAACGGCGATCAACGATAAGGTTGCTCATTAAAGCCTCTCCTTGCCAAAGAAAGAGCGGCAACACCCCACGAATGAAGTACAAGAGCTGTGCCTTTTGGAAAGGTTTTGTCAATTCACGGAAATTCACCCCTTGCAACTCGCAACGCCATCTGACGAGCAAGTCAAGGCAATCTCACGGCTGGTTGGGACCTTCACTCGGCCCAGCCATGGGAAACCTTTTGGATGGACCAACATTGGAAAACCAAAAGGTCAACAGGTCGGCTTTGGACAAGTGAGAAAGGTACCACTTCACACTAGCTTTAGAAGGACCTGACTTGGAACATCAGCGAATGAAACATCCCCTGACCACAAACACTGGTTTGGGCACTCATCAAGTCACTACTCGGCTGAAGGAAGTCACTAGTCATTGAAACACATGGGTTTGTCCCAAATTTAGGGGACCCCCAAAAAACATTGGGTTTCCTTTAACTCTATTGGTTCCTTTCTTGGTTCCTTTTTTAAGGGAAATTTAGGTTCCTTTTGGTGTCCCTTTCACTCCACTCCAAAATGGGTACCGACCCTCAAAAAACGACACACTCACCTTGCGATTCCGCCAGTCCAGTGATACAAAAAGAGCCCCAAAGAGGCGTCCTGGCCCAACTTTGGCCCTTGGCTGCGGTGGCAACATGGGAGTCAGAATCAAAACCGATCGGAACCCAAAATGGTGAGTTGCCAAAACCCATGGAAAAAGAGTTGCCAAGGCGGCGACGGCACCCACTTCTGGCAAGGGGACGCACCGAATTCAGGATGGCGTCTCTTTTTTGGGCGGTAGCCCCATTTGTGTGGTGCTTGAAGGGAAACCAAAAGGAAACCCCAGGGCCTACATCATAGTGGGCTGGTACTACCTCCAGGTGAGCTCGCTATAAAAAGAGAGAGCAGATATACACAAGAAAGAAATACTGATGAAATGACTGCCCGTCATCGAGTTTCCAAATGTGAATCAACGGTTCTGAGAACATTCACAGAAATTGCCCTGATGTTTGATGAAACTCTTGGTGGTTTCGCCAACCAAGCGGTCAGCGGATTCTACGAACTACCGCTATGATCGCGAAACATCTTCAGGAAGGCCCCTTTGGCAGGGTCTTTTCGCAGGGATCATCTCTGAAATCAGAAGGAGCTGCCTGATTCAGAGAAAGTCCTTGTTCCGAACAAGGCACATAGGCAAATCATGACTACGCACTAAATGAGGGTGTCGTTTTTGGGGGACTTGCAAAAATGGTGATGTTCCCGTTGGTTTCCTGTTTAAACCTACCCAACAAGGGTACCCTCAAAAACAGACACACCTAAGTAGAAACCATGAATCCCCAAGTACGGAACATGAACTCGATAGAATCCCAGACACATGCAATCCACATTGCGAAAGACATGCCAAATGACCTGTCGCAAGAAGAAGGAAGAAGGACAGCATCAGCATTCCCCGAAATCGCTCCAAGCACCTGGCTTCTTTCCCCGAAAGAAGCAGGCGGCCAGTCTTGTAAACGGGTTCAGGCCTTCACCACAGCGCAATCATGTGCGTGGCATCATGTGACCGAAAACGTAGCACAACAACAGGTGAGTCATAATCAAAACCCGGTATTAAAATTGTCGATCCCCAGAACCATGCTTCAAGAATTCAGAAGGCGGATATCCGCAGCTATTTATGGCAAGGGGGATGTCCCTAACCTTCATCAATCCCCGGGTTTTGAGCAAGTGGGTGCAGTTCAAAGGAGCAAAACTAAGGGTACCAACTTTTTCTGTAGTCTATTTTAGTAGGGGAACCCTCCCAACCAAAAAAAGTAAAAAGGCACTAGTGCGAAACCTAGAAAACGTGGAACCCTACAGCCCACCCGCCCACCCGCCCACCCGCCCTTCTGCCTGGGCGGCTGGCTGCCCTTATGCACCAGTGGCACCGTGCCCCCCTGAGTCGCGACTTTGGAGGCGCTCAAAGCACCTCGGATGCTGGAGGCACTTCGGCGAGTCGCCGCTTGACTTGACAAATGGGGGTGTGTCTGTTTGCAGGGAACCCCCCGAAAAACGGTCGTGTCCATATTAAAACCAACCAGAAGCTGGCTCCCCCAAAGCAGGACAAGGCCATGTGCGAGCGAGTGCATATGACCTGCCGCCACAAACCCCGCAAGGTACAGCAGCGATTCTATATGAAAATGTGTGCTGTTTGGCGGGAAAATCTGAGGTTGCGTGACGGAGAACACTTGCTGGTGCTCAGCAGGGAATGAGGGAATGACCCTGTAAACTATCCCTGGTGGTGTCCTTTACGGGAACCGCCAAGAAGTCATGATACATGCAAGCGAACCACTCAATGTAAAATGCTAGGAAAAGAAATTGACTCACATTTTCCAAGGCCATTGTCTGATATCGGAAAGCGAAGTGGTCGATCACCCCCATTACTCAAGTTGTAACCATGGTTGTAACCTATCTACGAAGTGGGTTGAACATCCAAGTAACCTTCCAATTCCCTGCCCGGTTTTTCAATTAAATGTCAGATCCAACAAAACTCACCGGGGGTAGAGCTCAAAAAAAAGGGGTCACCAAAGACGCAACAGGATTCTCGGCATCTGGTTCAATGATCCCAAACACTAACAAGCAAAGAACAATATTGAAATACATTCCCAAGGAGGTTTGACATAAACAGCACCGCAGCATTTTCACTCCAGCGATGCTACACGAGTCTGATAGACTAACAACCCACCTTTTCCTGTGGGATTTGCATTGGTATCCACAGCATGAATTTCCTCATGCTGTGGCCCAGCCAATTCGCCGATTTCCTCGGCACATCGGGTTTACCCCCGATAAGCTCTGGATGCCCTGCATCAAGCAGGATACATCTCCCACCACAGAGCTAACTGACTGACTGGGGGCCTGGTCCCCCAGGCATTCCCCAAGCGCGGACTAGGGGGGCCGGTGATCTAGGGCGGGATAGGGTGGGGTTAAAATTTAGCCAGTTTGGATCATGCTTGAGCCAAAAGGCCCCGCATGATCCAATACGCTCCTTGCAGAATGAAGCCTGTAAACCCAAGCCTTCCAACCTGATACAGGATTACATTCCCAAGGAGGTTTGACATAAACAGCACCGCAGCATTTTCACTCCAGCGATGCTACACGAGTCTGATAGACTAACAACCCACCTTTTCCTGTGGGATTTGCATTGGTATCCACAGCATGAATTTCCTCATGCTGTGGCCCAGCCAATTCGCCGATTTCCTCGGCACATCGGGTTTACCCCCGATAAGCTCTGGATGCCCTGCATCAAGCAGGATACATCTCCCAACGCACTTACTTTCACCACCTATTTCACAACCTCTCCCAATGCACTCACAGGAACTCAGCAAAGGTAATCACTGCTCGGTACGGAAGCCTCAGTAGAGCTGGAGGGAAAAGACTGAAATTCAACTTGAAGTGGTTGGCCCTGTACCATGGGTCACTGGGTCCTAATCGGCTGATCGCGTCAGCCCAATTGGATTTGGATGGAATGTATTCCCAGTAGAGTGAGGCTCGCAACGCAAAGAGCAAACACTGGATATACGTCGCCATCTTGGCCAAGTCGGGGTTGTCACTCCTGCCCCTGATCAAACACATAAGACTGGCGATGTTATCGATGAACCACACTCCGCGTCTCCCGCGGAATTGGTCGGGTCTCGCCGTAAGGGCGTGCACCACCATGAATAGCTCCAACTGGGCTATTTTATGGTCTCCTGGTCCCCACATGTCATAGGTCTGCGCGGGGATGATGGCTACAAAGGCCTCCCGAATCTGCACGCCACCGTCCTGGAAGACCAAGTGGTATCCGCCGGATCCTTGACGAGGTGCCTCCAAGGCCGCGTCCGAGGCAGCCACCACCCTCGGCACATCCATGGGGAGGACCATCAGCTCTCTCCTGGGGCGCATACTGATGATAGCCTCCAACACGTCAAAAGCCCTCAACAGGCTGGCGTTGGCTTTGCTGGAGCCCCCGTACTGGTGCTCCTTCAACGCCTGGATTTCGCCCAAGCCAATGCGCCCGAAGAGGCCATGCTCCAGGAAGTTGACCATGCCGTAGAGTTTCGCAGCTTGACCCGGGGTGAACTTCCCGCTCTTCCTGGCGTCACGCATGAAGGTGAGCACCTTCTGCTCGAGTCGCTCTCGAACCCAAAACCGCGCGCGCCCATGTGTGTGGACCTCCGAGAGATCGAAATCAAGCCCCAAGAAGGTACCGACATCCGCAGCTCCCTGGCGCTTCTCCTCAGCGAACGGGGTGCCCAGCAGGTCGTTGAGGGCGCCGAAACTCCACTGGGCTGATGGGCCGTGTACTGCGCGGTCTGTAATGTGACTGTCGTCGAAATACATGGACACCATGATTGCCAGAAAGCGCCTGCCCATAGCTTCCGCCATCCGGGAGTAGCGGTTGAAGGAGGTGACCGCCAACGGAAGGCCGAACAAGAGGGCGTGGTATACCTGGAAGGCCGGCTCCTGCCATTCCTGGTGGTACCAAACTACTACGCAGGCCAGGGCTTCCTGTCGTGACATGGGACAGTGGCGGTAGGCATTCGGCCAATCATCTCCAGCTCCCGTCCACTGCCCCTGCTGCGCGAACCGCTCCCAGGTGCACTCCTGAAGGCAGGCTGCCGCAGCTTGGACGTGGAGCGCTGGGCGGAGCGGCGTGCACAAAACAAGTTTGTTGGCATCTCTGGACGATGCAGACTGCCCGCCCCGTGCTGCGTCGTCTATCAGACGCTGCTTGCCAGACGCCTGTGTGATGACACAGCGAGGTATAAGCCGGTATGGGTCTCCTTTGGCATACCGCTTGAGCTGGCTCAGGTTCATGCGGGGGGTGCAAAACCCCTCCTTGTGGTCCTTTGTGGACTGCTCCAGAACGAAAGAGTCCGTGGAACCCGGTCGCACTCCTGCGATAGTGGCGGCGTTGTGCTCCTCCCAACCAGCCAGTACCTCCGAGTGGGCGATCGCCTCAACGGGTTGGTGGGGGAAGACTCCGTAATGTGGGGCATAGCCCACTGCTGGAAGGCCTTTGATGAAGCCGTGAGGGAGGGCGAAGTCGCCCCACTGCATGAGGACGACGAAGAGCCCCAGCAAACCCAGATCGCGTTTCGAGGTAACTCCTCGGATGGCTTCGGACTGGAAGGCCACGAGGTGCTTGGACACCGGCGCCCACCTGCGCTTCAGTTCCTTGATGGCCCCGATGGACGCCTGGCGGCGTCTCTTCAGGTCGTGATTCTCCATCACCATGCTGGCCGCGTACCACAGGTCGTCGTCCAACGTAGGAAGGACTTCCAACGGGGCTGCCGTGTTGGTCCACTGCAGGGATGCGGCGAAGTGGGCGTCCGGCTCCAGCCCATATCCGACCAGAGGTGGAATGGAGGCCTTGTGGTTGTAGGCTCCATGCTGCTTCCCCTCCGCCAACCGCTGCCGCCTCCGACTAGCGTTGGACGAAGAGGGTGGCCCCAGGGGTCCGTCCCACTCCATCCCACGACTCTGGCGCCAGTCCAGGTAACATGTAAAGGGTTCCTTGTTCAACAGGTCCTCCAACATGGGCCACTGAAAAGACTGGAACCACTCTGCCGGGTAGAGCTTGCGAAAGGCCAAAATTACATCCTCCTGCGGAAACCAGAGTGACATTGACTTCAGGGCGTCACTGCCTCGGAGCGAGCCCATGATAGTCGCCGCCCTGACCACAGAGCCCCTGGCCTGCCTGTGCCGCCGCCCAGTGACTCTGGGCAGGCTGGCCTCGGCATCCGGATGGGTCGCATCAAAGACCATCCCGGCCAGCGCATCTGCTTCGCAGACACCGTCCGGGCCGCAATCGCATGCCAGCCGTTTGCCTTGCAGCGCAGGCAGCTCCGCCTGCAAATTGGCGAGGACGAAGTCCACGTAGAGCGGCAGCCAGTCGTCCGTCGTACAGGTGTGCCCCTGCACGAACGGTGATGCCCACTGAGACCGTGGGACCCGGTGGGAGTGGTGGCCCTGACCCACGTAAACCACGTCCGGGGGCAGTTTACCATCTGCGAGCACATCCGCCACTCGTACCACCGTGGGCAGCCGTGCCCGCTCCTCGGGATGCAGCGGTGGCAAACCGAGTGTGATGGCCAGTGGAGTCATGGCCCAGCTGCGCATAGCTCTGGGATCGATGTCCAGCCAGTGTTGCCTCCGGCCACACGCTTCCAGCGGCGGCATCCGAGGCACGTGGAGACGGGCATGCCCTTCTCGGACCGCCCACCAACTGACCGAGACCGCAATTGCGAAGGCCAGGGTGGCTGAATACTCCGCCTCCTCCTTGGATGGGAACTGGTGTCGCCCCTGGGTGTCCTCCCAAGGATCCCACTCCCAGGCTGCATGCTGGTGGTGGCACTCACGGGGGTGAATCAGCTCGATCTCATGGATGTTGTGCCGCAGCCGCTGGTGCTTACAACGCGCTGACATGAAAACGCATGCCGAGTACGTCGTATCGTACCAGAGGCCGGATTCCATCATGGTCTCCTCCTGCGGTAGGAGGCTTCGAGCCGGGTTCTCCCGCAGGGCCCCCCTGCCGTCGTCTGCTATAGCCTGGAGCTGCTTCAGGATCCAGGAACATGCCGCATTGTCCACGTCCACCCGCCTTTGGTTCTTGGGGTCAAGCCCGGGCAAACCTTCTGGGTGTGCCTCAGAACGCAGCGGTTTGGGACCTGGGCGGCCGTCCGCAAAAGTTCTGGGGATCTCCCTGGCCCTGGATTTCGTGGAGCAGTCCAGGGCTGCTGCTGTGAAGGCTGCTGACCGCATCGGTGCCTCCAGTGCTTGTTGCCTCACCGGGTTAGACAGGTCGTGCCCCGGGTCCAACGACCAGTCGATGGGCAGCACCCTCCAGCCACAAAACAGAAACGCCTTCGCCAGGGGCATATTGGGACCACACATGAGGTCGACCATCAACGGGCCACCCTGGGATCCGGTGTGGGGGTGCGAGAGTTC